GGTGGAGCTATGGCTGTGTGTGAGGTGGGTGTGGTTAGGGTGGAGCTATGGCTGTGTGTGACGTAGGCACCAGGTCTACCTTCATGAGCCCAGATGTGCTGCTGCAGGTCGGTGCCGTTCCTCATGAAGTAACAGTCGCAGTAAGGGCACTTGGACGCCCTCTTTCCGATCAGCCCCTTCAGCTGTACCCGCCTCCCCAGGACTTCAGAGATGGTGCTCATGGGGACATCTGCAGAAAGGAGGGAGCGCGTCAAAGCTCATGTCTCTATCCAAACCATGAAATAATGAATCCCCCTCAGATTCTGCCCCTCAGCTGGCGGCCTGCTGACCTCCGAACATCACTGCTATTCTTCACTGAGTCACACCCATAACAAGTATTTATTTATCACACATATATTGTACGTTTCTAGCACTTTTGCACTGCTCCACACTTTCGGATTACACGCCAGCCTGCATTTCATTGTCCGAGTACTTGTACTGGAATCTAATCTAATCTAAACAAACATTAGTGTACTGTGTCACTTTAATGCCCTTTCATAGACAAAAGTACAAGAAACTTACCAGGATGGAAGGTTTTGATATGGGCTTTAATGAGTCTATCTTCAGAGAAAGACTGTTCACAGACAGGACAAACATAGTTCTTCTTGTCCTGAAAACAGTTTGCAAAATGTATCAAAATTTCATAAGTACATGGCATTCAGGCAATTCAGTTTATTATTATTAACACAGAACTGTATTAACAAACACTCAGCACTCCTGTCTAAAATTCTACTTCGATTCATAACTTTACCAACCATCTACACCAGTGAATTTCTGCATCAGATGCACATAGCAAAAGGAAGAACTGCCTTACAATGTACTTTATAGTTTTTGTACCCCTGGTTTTAGCTTCACTTTAAGCTGTGCACACATACATCTCTAAACTGAGATAATGTGGTGCATTCAAACCCACGGCAAAGTCCCAGGCTGTGTTCAGCATATATATTTTTATTCTTTTATTATTATCTTGTCCTGTATTGTGCAAAACTGTTTTTAAAGTCTTGGAAAAACTACATTGGTTTCACTGTTTGCCTACATATTTTGAAGTGACAAAATCATGGGAATGGGAGGTGCGGGTGTGTCACTGGGGGGCTGAGGGGGGGGGGTGTTCTGTAGCCACCCACAAATCACGAAATATGACATCCTTCACTTCACAGGCAGTTTGTGTAATTATAGTAGTTAAAGCTAAAACCAAATGCACTGGCGTGAACAAAGGGCCTGAAAGAAGCGTGTCCCCGCGGTGGATCTTAGCGAGAGGCCGCTCACCGTGTCCGCGTGGATCTTCAGGTGTGCCTGTAGCTTGTACTTGTCGGGCGTGCAGTACTGACAGCCCTCGGTGGGGCACCGCAGCGACACGTTGCTGTGCCTCTGGATGACGTGGCGCTTCAAGCAGTTCTTAGTGATGGACGAGTAGCTGCACTGGGAGCAGTAGTGCAGGTGCTCGCGGGTGTGTGTGCGCACATGCATGTTGTAATGCACCTGGTACCAGAACAGCTTACCTACACAAGAGACAGGGGGTTACACTACACTCATACACTATACTTTCATAATAAACACGGTATTTTATGGGAGGGTGGTGTGCTTGAAATCAGTAGGTCACCGGTTCAAATCCCCATTGTCAGCTGAGTGATATTACCGTTGGGCCCTTGACCAATGCCCTTTACCATAATTGCTCCAGGTACTGTCTGGCCCTACTTTCTGAAAAATTTATGTCACTTTGGATAAAAGCACCTGCTAAACAAATATATCAATACACAAACATTCACCTATCCATACTCATAATCAGTGAGCCTATCCCAGGAAGTAGGGGACATAAGGAAAAAGAAAAACCTCAAACGGACTTCCAGTGCATCATACTACACCCATACATACAGAATAATACACATTTCAAAGACATCAACTGCATGTCATTGGACTGAGTCCAAAATGGTATTCTGTACTGATCAGAACATATGAAGTAATGAAATATCACAGACATCCTGATTTTCCTCTGCTCAACATGTCCCTGGGTCAACAAGGGAGAAGCTTGCCTTTAATTTCTCAGCATACATTTTAAGTCATGGGCATATTTCTCGACGGTAATCTTACCACAGTATTCACACTCAAGGTCTCCATACACTTTTCTGATCCTCTCGAAGACCTCCATGTTCAGCTGCCGTTTCTGCATGCCGTCTATAATTTGCCTAAATGCCGTTCTTTCCTCTTGTGGTGCTGAGCTCACGTCCACCTCTCCATTTGAAACACGTGTCCGAGGTGCGGACTCCATGACCTGGACCAGTTCGACGTTCACCTGAGGATCTGACGCAGCAGCCTTGTCTTTTTCAACATCAGGATGCTGAACGTCAGATGATTTCCCTAAAGATGCTACTGAAGAATCTGCCTCGGTGTAACTCACACCGTTTTCACGTCGGCCATCCTCGTGTGACACCTTCTCTGCGGCAGCCTCTGAGGTCCCCTCATCCATAGCGTGTTCCTTAGGCTCCTGACTATCACAGACCAGTGTGGTACACACTTCCTGCGGAAAACTCTCCATGACTTCCACAAAGCCCGTATTCTGCATCAGGATGTGAGACTCCATGCTGACTGCTCCACCACTTGGGACAGGCATCACCTCCCCAGAAGATCCCAGCTCGGGAACCAGCATGTGCTGCTGCGTGTTGAGGAGAGAGAGCTCCTCTGTGATCTGCAGCTCCTCCTGCTTCAGTGTCTCTCTCTGAATATCGCTACCAGGTTCCAGCAGGCAGAAGCTGCGGTTAATGGATTCGGCAAAGGCCGCGGCCTCCTCTGCGTCAGGGTGAGCATCTCGGAGGTGCGCCTTCAGGCGGACGGAGCTGACGAACTTCTGCAGGCACAACGAGCACACGTAGACAAACGGGTGTTTGCGGATATGCACCTGCAGGGCTTGGTATTTAGTAGAGCCGTGATCACAGAGCTCACAGCCGAACGGCCTCTCGGTCCCGTGCACCATCATGTGACGGTCTCGGTCCAGCTCGTTCTTGAACTTACGATCGCATATCTGGCAGTCGTAGAGCAGCTGCCTTTTGCCTTCCCGAGTCTGGAGACTAAACTCCTCATAGGAGTCCTTCACATTCTTATCCTCCATATCATGGCTTTCACGTATATGTTTGAGCAGGTTCTTGACGTCGGAATACTTCTTCTTACAGAAGCGACAGTGCTGCTTCACCTTCTTGTGCACTCTTTCCACGTGGACCTTCAGGTGACCCTTGCTAAGGCAGTTAAAGGAGCAGTACTCACAACTGAACTTCTCCCCAGTGTGTTTGCGCATGTGGACACTGAGGTTGGCCTTAATAGCACTGGCATAGTCACATTGTAGGCACTTGAATGGCTTCTCATTGGTGTGGATTCTCAGGTGGGCTTGCAGAGAGTGCTTGAACTTGAAAACCTTGTTGCAGTACTCACAGGTAAAGATCTTCAACTGGGTCTGCCCAAGCCTGTTAGAAGATACGCGCGAGTAGGATTACTAAATATGTTACTTCTACTACTACACAGAGTGTAGTAACAATGGCTAACAATACCTTAGCAAAAAGACCGTACAAAACTGAATGGGGCATAACGTTTAGCAGTGGGTACGTAAATATAATCCTGTATTCTATGTTTCTCAGCCCATGACAGGTCATTTGTATTGGTTATTTTTTGTAAGAAAATATACATCCATTTTACATAATAATTTATCTGTGTTCCATATAGATATGGTTCTCCCTGTTCCATATCTCCCAAGAAAAAAAAAATATGTTATAGTACACAATTAATAGATTTTAGATTTTTTTTTGTCCATTTTTATGTCCTCTACATAAAGTTACTGATTTAACAGTAATACTTCTAGAGAAATATTTTCACTGGGAATACAGGCCACTGACTGTAACCTCCGGCTAACAATAAGCACTCCCATCCAGTACCTGTTTGACTTCAGGGGTACTTCATAAGCCGCTTGCTGTATTGCATATTCCTGGTAGCCTCTCTTCTGTCCGGCTGCCTCACTACTAGCTTCTGGCTCAGTGGTAGGGGCAGGCTCTGCTGGTGAGGCTTCAATGGGAACAATCTTGGTGGCACCTGAAACAACAAATAAACTTTATACACTCATCCAATAGGGGGGCGCAGTGTGCGACTCAGCAGGTTAGGCCACTGTCCCTGTGATCGGAAGGTTGTTGGTTCGAATCCTATGCACGACAGAGAAGCCGCATCTCCTTTGGGCCCTTGAGCAAGGCCCGTAACCCCCAAAAAATGGTCCAGGGGTGCTGGATGGATGGCAGACCCTACGCTCTGACCCCAAGCTTCACACTCACTTCTATATGTGTGTATGACACAAAAAATGCAAAGCACGATGGGATATTTGAGAGGAGACACACAGTTAGAGGGATCTCCACCTTCTGCCTAGCTATGATAATAGCTTCTTATCTTGCCATTTGTACAAATACAGGTACACAGGAATCACTCCAGTTAGACAAGACAGAATCAGGTACGATCAAACCTTGGGATCACTGCCCCAATACATCATACAAAATACTGCTTCAAACATAAAATCATAAATTTATGTCAGCTAAGAAAAATAAACAGTGTTTATAATCAGTCCAGTGCAATAATTTTTAGGGGATAAAAAAAAAATTAAATTCTCAATAACCTCTAGATTACATCTCAGTAGCAACACTACTTTGTTGCCCTTTGACTCTTATGCTGATCTGTCTCACCTGGAATTGCCTCGTGGGCCGTAAGAACAACACTGATGATGGGGTTTTTGGTGGCGCCCCCTTGCTCCAGGTCTTTAACACTGCAGATTTTCTCCGGCCGACCGGTCCGGCTTCTCTTTGGAAGCCTCTCTCTCTCTTCTTCCCTCCCCTCTGCTGGCAACTTGACCGCAGGGTCATTAACTATTACATTTAAAAGGAAACATACTTTATTGGTTCTTATTGGGAGAAAAAAAGCAGCAAATGACTTCACACAATAATCCTACTTAACACGAGCGCCGTTTTCTTAGTCACAATTTAATTCACCATATTTTGGTGAGATTTAAATTCATAAAGAATTATGCAACTATGTATGGCAAACACAAACATTAGTGACGTGTGCTCAAATACCAGTGCCATCCTCTTCATCACCCTCTTCTTTAAGTCCTATGATGCAGATGTGTTTTGTAATCTGCCGCTTGTTGCAGAATTTACGATTACACTTCTTGCAGTCCAGGGAACCAGTGACTTCATTCTCCTGCTCTTCCGCAATCCGTGTCTGGACCTCAGGGGATGGTTTTTGACCGGAGGGGTTGTCTTGCACGACATCTGAACAAACCTTCTTTGTTGATCCCTTTGGCCTGCCTCGTTTCCTCTTAACAGGGAACTCTACAAAAAAAAAAACAAAAATGTACTTAAAAAAAAAAAAAACACCAAACACAACAATGTACCAGAACATATATAATCCCATTTGGATACTTAAAGATTTATAGATGTGCTTGAGAAATACTGATTTTGGTGGTATGCAACAAATTTCTCAAGAATAGATTCTGATACTGTAGCCACATGAGTTTTCACCTGTCACCTCAATTATTTCAAAAGGAATTATTCAAAATTTCATACACCTGTTATAATGTTGATCCTTCAAATGTGTCCTCATATCATGAAATCCATGTTTAACGAGGCATATAACTGTCAAGCAGTTAAACTGTACTTATAATCAGCTGTGTACTCCTTGCTGTATGGTCTGAATGTCAGTAAAGTCATTTCAGTTTAGTTCAAGAAACTGCGGGTATAAGTTCCAAACAAGCTTTGATGTGAAATGTTCAGCTGAGTTTGTCAAAACTGCTAGACTGCGGCAGGTAAAACTTGCATATGAACTCAAACTGAGGTACAAAAAATGGAATATCAGTTACCCTACTTGACTGACAAGCACAAGAGAAAAAAGTAACATTTCCCTTAATCTCTTGCACTGTCCTTTAGATGTTGAATAAAATGTTGCTACACTTCATACTTCTAAATAAAAATAGCCAGTGCTTTGACAGTTCAACTGCTTACCTAGAGCTTCTCTTTATAGTTTTGCCAATATGACAACAGCAGCCTCAGCTCAGTGCTCATGAGTCACTCATATGATGCCAAAGGATGTTTCAGTTTTAGTTCTGATCCAGGGAGAACGCTCACCTCCGCTCTTCTCTGCCTGACCCGCTGCTAAAGGCCTGAGAGGGACAATGATGTCATCAGAGTCGAGCCCATCGAGGCTGTGTTTCTCAGACACGTGAGTGAGCAACTTTGCTTTGCTAGGAGAGAATAAGTTGCAGACTTTGCACATAAAGATTGAAACTCCACCTGTGAAATAAATTAATTTATTTAGAAGAAAAAAAATACAACCACGACAAACACCACCATGTGAACATCGACTGTGACTTGGAGAAGGTAAATCGAGCAAAAAGCATCTTTAAAACATCCTTTATAGCTTATTTAAACCTACCTAAAAATAATATCACGTAGCAAACTTACAGATACAAAATAAGAACAGAAGTACATTATCGGATAATAGCACGGTAAGAACTAAAAACTACCATGCATACACAAAAATACACTTTTCATATAAAAATTGAACGTGTTCAATTTCAGAACTTGTAACTCTTTATTGCGCCAGTATGTACAAACATACATAAATTCGGTTCGGTGCCAAACATGAATTACACGACAATGTTACAGTTTTAATTTATATTGTTTCTGGTCAAAACGTACAAATAGCTTTACCCCTCGTGTGAATTGTCCTTTATTTTGTTTGTATGATACATTATCTATAAACAAATGTAAAAGAAACGGAAAACGAAAGCTAAATAAGTGGTTGTTAAATATTTTAGTAGAGTTGCCAACTCACAGGCATCTGGCGTGACTCTCACGCTTTCAGGCTTACAGTCACGAGAAATCTTATGGCAAATCTATATTATTCCATTATGAACCTAAAATTAGCTACATCAAAAGCGTTGGGGCAGTTTGCAAACCCTACCGACGACTTACAAGGTAATACAACTCTTACATACATGTAAATGCGTGTGCAGACTAGTCTCCAATTGAAAATCTCACTCCAGCCAGCTGACCAAAGTTGGCAACCCTGTTTTATATAACGCGGCTAAAAAGCAAAACGAAAACAAAAAACACTTGTAATACGGTGTGACGCAGCTTGAGCAAAGATGCCGCTGAGCTGAGCCGGGCTCTACTGTCAAATAACCCGCAAAAGCGCCGAGGCGGGGACCCACGGCTAGTGACAACAGCGACAAAGCAGCAAAACCCGAGGCGGTTAGAAAACCCAGCTAACTACAGCCCACCCTCGGCCGGAATGCCTGTTTACAGTTATACAAAAATGACTAATTAAGCGAGAAACTCAGTGGGCGGTTACGGGGAGCTTCTATCAGGTCTGCGCAGAGCCGCAGAGCCACTGGCTTCGTTACCTTCACGTCGACATCTAGCTAGCTAGTTAGCTACATGCAACGGAAAAAACATATTCAAGTTATACTAGTGCCTACCTGAATTCGAGGCGTCCATGACTCCTAAAATAAAACTCTGCACCTTAAACACCGTAGCTGTTCGTCGGAATGTCTTATAATTTTTTTTCAATCGCAATAATGTATTTTATTCGAATAGTTTTGACAAACGTTTCTGGCGAATCTGCGATATCAGACATGGCGGATGAAGTCTCTGACTGATTGCCCCGTCGGGTAGAAAGTCGAAAGGCGAGTGTCATTTTTTTACGGCGCCCTCTATTGTCTCGCTTTGGGAAGCTGTTACTATGGCGCTGAGGACTGAGGTTATACCGAAAATTCCTAAAGGAAACACTAAGTAGGTGAGTCATGTCATGTAAATACGTATAATAATATTAATCGAATTAAGCTAACTTAATTATTACACATAGCATTATAGTAGTTTATATAAAAAATACATTACATTCTAAAAATATGACATGAAGCTTAAATTTGGGGAAGCATTTTGAATGCACAACTGACTTTGTATATCGGACAAATTAAAAGTATTTCAAATAAATCTAAAAAAAATAATTTAAATAGTTTCATATCAAGACAACAATGATTGACATTTGTATGTAAATAGCAGTCACTAAGCACAAATTATTTAGCAGGAGAATAGTTACAAAGTAACAAATCATGAGATAATTGTTGCAAATAATTTGAATTAGTTGCAGCCATAATATCCAGTCTACAGCAGTTCTGTCCTTTTACTTTCAATATTAACAATAATATTAAAGCAAAATCAGATCTATTCAAGAAATCAGATCAACTATTGAAATAACAGCCAGTTTGTACCACATTCCAGCTAATATTTACTCATGCACCAAGAGCTCACCTGTCTCATTCCAATAGTGACTGGATGGAAATGGATATTTGTGAACATGTGGTTTAGCTGTGAACATCAGCTATGTAAAGAAACTCCAAAGCAGGTTTCTGTAGTACTTACATAATATTTGAATACTTTTATAAGAGAATCATAAAGTTCAGAGATTGTTTATCACAACCAGCCAGAAATGTAACAATTACTGAAAGATGGGAGAATCATTTAAAATGACTTTGACGTTATGACACTCAAAGGAGTGAGAAAAAGGACACATTTATCCAAACATCTGGATCTGCATATACATCTGTGTTGATGAGTGTGTTGATTAAAGTGTGATGAAGTTTATTAAATATAATATACTGTTAAATGTTAGATTACTTCAATAAATACTAAGTTAATTCTGCTAAGTCCTGTAAACCAAATGCAACTGCACACATTGTGAAAAGAGAACTTGCATGAGGTTTTTAAAAAAATAATCACACAAAAAGGAAACAGATATACTAATTTTATTATGCAGAATAATAAAATAAGCATCATGTGGATTCATTACAGTAACAACTAACCATTCATTGTATAGTTAATATCCACATTGTCTTCAAATAAACTTCTTTTCATTGCCTTAATTAGACTCATGCATTCAGTCATTCAGCAATTTCCACAGTAACACAAATGTAAAAGATCCTGTTATTATTGTTTATGATACATGACAGATAAAGGGGAATACAACATGCAGCTTTTATGTACCTCTAATGCAGAAAAGATGAAAATCTAGACGTTGGCATTACAAAAAGGTGACCATTCATGGTTCTTTTCTCTCTCCACGGAGCTGGAGGAGGCCGGCGGTGGCAGCAAACATCTGACTGGAAGCCAAGACAATATGACACAGCTTCCAGTCGGGGATGTTTACAGCACCAGACAACCACGTTTCACGTGATGCCTGCAGGTGCACGAGAATTAGCAAGAAATGAATGAAAGGAACAATCAGGGCTGGGAAATACAATATACACAACTGAAACAAACTGACCACAGTTCAGTTCCTGGGCGCTATTGTTTCTATGTTATCCCTTATTGTTTGACTAAAGTAAAATGATCACCCTGTTCCTTTTCTGGTGATTTTTAAACTTCTATTAATCATGCATGCGCTCGACACAACTACACGTAACAGCAACGCCCTGTCATTTAATTTCTTATTATCTGTTATTATTATTATATTCAATGGCGGAGTGAATACTTATTGTAAAAATGCCATTTGCTGAACGCAAAATGTCGCATAATAGCGGGTTAGGCTCTGTCACTGAATATATTGAGTAAAACAGGTTTTTAACGTTAAAATCTGGCTAACATAACAGCCCCTGGGAAATGACACAATGTCTTTTACCATATGACCGTACAAATGATTTTGAAAGTTTAATCATTTGCCTTATTTTATATGGCTATAATTTACATTTCTGGATCAGAGACATCTTGGAAATACTTAGCTACAGGACGGGACGTGACTTTCAATAGTTGACCTTTGGTTAGCAAAACTTTTTCCGCAATGAACATACGGAATATAATATCTGCCACAAAGCGTAATTCGGATAGTTTACGGGAAAAATGATCAGACCCATATTCACGTTTTAGGTTTTCAAAGCGACATGTCATACTTAAAAAGACTAAGCAAATATTATAGCTCCAGGCAAACAGAGCCGGTAGCCGTCTAGGCGGAGTGCTGGATACTCAGAGTACATATTTCTTACAGAGCTAAACAGCTTGCTAGCAATTTATATAAAATACGTTACTTGCTAAGCGCAAGACAGATATCTTCACGCGTCCGCTTACGTTAAAGAATATTTGTGAATTAAAATTTAGTGGTCAAACTAGCTAGCAAGCTAAGGTTACCGGATCGTACTCCGCGGGACTGCGAACCGAAACTCCCCCGGAGGACGTCGCCCGGTCCTCGGCACGACCCGCATCTCATACCGCCCCAAAGCCCGCTTCGTTTGGGGGACATTAACGCGGGCACCGCAGCTCAAACGCAGCCGGGCCAATTTCCCGTCCAATCCTCCCGATAAAGCCGGACAGCCGACACCTCCTTCGTTCTTTTCCTTCATCTTTTCCGTTTCTTTTCCGTCCTTCTTGTCTTTAGTTTGACCTTTAGTTATCCGACACTGGAAAGTAATGACGCAATTGTCATGGAAACGGAGTCCCGCCTCCCCCGTGCCGCTGCTCCGGCTAAAATTAACGCGTTTCGTGGGAAATTTACAGATGCTGCAGGTTTATCCGTTTAAATTCTGAAGCAGCTACTTAATAAATAATCAAGTGGGATGGAATGACAGGCAGTTAGAATAAAAATATGGAAAACACATATCATGACAATTTAAGTGTAGTGTAAAAATTGGGACTACTTATCTAGCTGTACAGCGTAGCGCAATGATACTATTAAGAGTAATGCGTTAAGAGTAATACGTGCTGGAAGTTTGGCAGTCCGCCAACAAGGGAATTGGCAGAAAGTTAAGTAGCTGTAAGAAATTTATTTATTTATTTACTTTCGTTGGACATCAAATCACAAAATAACACGCCTCTTCATGGTATATTAGGCATTGCTTAATTGTATCAGAACGTCTGACAGAATTGAACCGGAAATTAGACCAAATCAGTGGTTGGAATTGCAATGTTTTGAGCAATGCTTTGAGCAATGAAGAATGCATGCGAAGCTCAGAAGGAGACGGGAACTTACAATGTTGCGCTTTTGCTTATGCTTTGCGAATAAAAACAAAACAACAATGTAACGACACGTTTTTACTTGATGTGAAGGACGCAAATGTGCTGGGATTACTTGTCGATACAATTAATTTATGTCTAAAGAATATGTAGTACGAGAGGGGACTCTCCGGCTTAAAGAAATAGTTTTAATAGCTAACATAAAAGCAGTGAGAGGAGGAATGTTTACAGCGTTTGCAATCAGCGTAGTAATCAGATTTCATGTTGTTGAGAGAAGCTGGCACTGCATTTCTGAGTAGGGAAAAGAACATCACCTCTGCAGTTATCTATGAATTTACTTTGGTCAGGGAAATTGGCAAGCCATGTGTGCATGACTTTTGCAATCTGGTGGTGTCCTAATAAACAATTGGTTTGTAGGAAGTGAGTTTAAATTAATTTTGCTAAGGATTATGACTTTCATTGCATCGATTCCAGGAAGGAAAGGGCTGTGCAAACTTCTAAATATAGAGGAAAAAGAATCCCTTGCAGATTGATTGATGTGAAAGATATATGACCTTTTAGGCTTTTAAAACTGTTTCTTGGTCAACCAAAATAGCTGTGTAGTGTTCCTACTTTGGAAAGTGAACATAAATGTTATTGCTGTAGAGGGACTGAAGGATAACTGATCCTAGACCCTAAATTGAATAATTGCTTACACTAACAAGTTAAGGAAAATTAGTTGATCCTTATAAATGCACGTGAAATTGGTGCCTCTGATCAGGGGCACATGAAGAGTTCTAGGGAAAATCTCACAGCTTTTTGCCATGGTATTTTGAAGATGACTCTATTCCTGGGAATAATAAGTGTATGGTATATAATCATGTAGTACCGTACACTGATTCTGTTCTTCAACACATCCAACAAAGTATCAGTAATGTTCTGGAGAGCAGAAGTTCTTGTTATATTTCATTTTGTTAATATTAATTTGCATATGGTTTAAGATTAAATTGTGGGTTTTTTTTTTCTTGCTCAGCAAAAATATACTTACTACCCAGATAAACAGCACAGTACTGGACAACTCTAATCAGCGTTCTGGACACAAACCGGAGTGGCATCTTGAAACTGGATAAAATCAAAGATGTTGTATTACCTGTGTATGTCTCACAGCAAAGAACATAAACATCTATCAATCATTATTTATACCTTTTAAAATACTTAATAGTTAGGATGAATCTGGTGGAAGCACAGCAAACATCGGACAGCTTTCCGTTTATGTTTGTCCAGTGACAAGTACAAAGGAGGACTCATGAAGGATTTCATTTTAAATTTCAAAACAGAATTGGAGTAACTTGGTTGTCAACTTATATTATTGAATGGCTGCGTTATTTTTTCATAAATATTTTTTTTGGAATACACAGATAAATCCACAGCCTTTCAAGCAGTTTTATCTCCCAGATTTAATGTAAGCCTGTCAGTACTCATACTTTTTTTTATGTTCTGTCGTCGTTCATTTTATGTAAAAAATACAAGTATCCATTAAATCATATTTGGAAGAGACTACGCAGTATGATATAGATAGTTTATTGTTACAGGATTTCTCCATGAACACAACAGCAGAGACTTGAAATACTGAATACTGACATTACATTTGGATTAACACCAGTCAGATGCTATCAATTACCACAAGAAAGACACAAAACTCATATAAACTTGCCATTAAGTCCAATGATGCAGCTGCAAGTTAATACAATTAGATTCAATGCCTTAAAGGGCATTTAAAATAATGAAGTTATATGGAGTTTCAGGTATCTGCTTCAAGGTACGTATATATAGGTACATATATTGCACATGTGTCATTTAACACAAAGCTTCCTCATTAGTGTGCTACATGCAGATAACTCCCACAAGTAAACATACGCATTGTCCAAGCATTCTGAATGAGAGGTATTATGGTACGCTACTCCCAGCTTGCCTTCAGGTAGGTTACCTACCCAGAGTGAAATTTCCACAGCAAGCTGTATGTTTTAATGACAGCTGCATCATTAATAATTATGTCACCAAATAATTCCAATCCTTAATGGAAATACCTGTTACCGGCACGTGGTAATTGGCAAATGCTCAGTAAATAAAGCAGCAAAAAATTGCAGGCACAGTATTTGTGTGCAAATTAAACATGAAGTACCGTCACATCTGAGTAATTCTCAGAGTGGAGCGGATTTTACGCGGCCAGCTCAACGGCGCCCTCTTCCTCCCCGTCGGCCCTGTTGGCGCGGATCTCGACCAACGTGCGGCCGAAGCGGCTCCATTCGTCAATGTGGGGCACAGCCAGCTGCTGGCACCAAGAACACCGTGTTCAGAAGGAAAGTGCGGCCAGGATACTCTCACAAGCAGATGGAAAAAGTACGTTTTGATGAGGGAAAAAAACTGCAGACCTCAGCTTTCTTATTACAGAGAACATATTGTACAAACACAGACAGAGAACTATGGTTTGACTATTAAAACTGATCTCACTGAATCAACAAGAACACACTTTTTACTTTATCCTCTCAGCATTTGTCCTGGTTGGGGGGGGGGGGGTGGAGCCTATCCCAGGTATCAGGGGGTGCATGGTTGGGCTACGCCATAACGATATACAGTATTGTACAACAGTGTTTGGCAGTTAAAGAAAATGATGTTTATATGATCTTCATGTTGGTGTAAAATTATGATATGATGCCTGCCATGTTGTATCAGTTTAGCAATTTCAAAACCTCTCCTAAAGTCACCCCAGTATTTGGAGTAACCATCCAATATACTCATATATTTGCCAACTCAACCCCCAGAATGTTATGTTTGGCTAATCAATACCTCATCAAGTTATTTAATCAATTAAGGTAATTAATTAAGCGAGTTGCTAATACAATTGAAACTGGTGGGGTACCCCTGAGGAGAGGTTTGGGAACTGAAGCACGGATTTTTCAAGCTGTCGGCAAGATTAATTTTCTGGAGAACAGAAGAAATTCTCTCTCTTTTTTTTTATTAATTCATTGAATACATATATTTTATTATTTTATTATTGTGTTACTACCCAGATAAATAGCTTTAAGCATTTTCTTTGATTGTCTAAGACTTTTGCACAGTGTCGTATATTAAAATTATTACATGCATGCTTTGTTAGCGTTCACAGGCAGAATAGTGTTACCTCTCCCACATCGTAGATCCAAACCCGTCCTTCTGAGTCACCGACTGCTATTTCTCTGCCCCCGGAGGCCCATCTCACCCGGTTTAAGGCAGAGGTCCCCTCGATGGTGACACTCGCAGTAGGGACCTGTGCAGGGGGACACTCACGTCATTCATCAGAGCCTCTCGGTCCAGGCCCAAGGCTCCTAAGCGGGTTAGCTTCATATTTTCTCCATGCCCAGCTGACAGCGGTGCTTCAGGTGCAACTTGTAGGAAATCAAAAGCTCATGCAATGTGTCGTACAACTGCTATTTTCCAGGAAAAACAAATGTGGAGTTTGACCACCAGGGATGCCTGACTGACCTCTGTATCATTGTTGAGGTTCCACAGGTCGAGACGTCCCATCCCGTCCACCGTGGCGAAGAGCGCAGGGTGCACTGGAGACCACATGACATCGTAAACATAATCCGCGTTGTCTTCAAAGGAGTACAGTGGCTTGTTGTTCTGCAAAGGGAAGACATTTAGACGACAAGCTGAAGCATTTCACACCACTAGCCTGCAATTTTTCAACACTAGGAAACATCCGATGAAAATGAGGTGGACCTGGCTGTGCTGACGTGACCTTGACGCGACCTTGACGCGACCTTGACGCGACCTTGATGCTTGGTATATTTAAACGCTCTGGCAGCTCTTCCACTCTAACACTGAAATCAGGCACGTTGTAGTAGACCTGCTTCTCTGTTTTCATGCAATGCTTGCTTTCTGACTTCCCCTTGTTGATGAATGTTAAATCTGGAACATTTCATTGCTCCCATATGTTCAGCTTTGTACAATACTGTCAGCACAATGTCGTTTATCATTTATGAAGCAGATTACACTGTGAATTCCATTTGCTTCCATTTCATAGCCTGCTCAAAGATACAGGTAAATTTACTTCTGTTAATGTAATGCCATTTAAAACATTTACGTTAATGTAGAATAGTTTAATCTGAGATGACTTGATGTTTTAATGTGAATGAAAATTGTAATTCCTTAACCTTTGTGGTCCATAGTTTGACAGTCCAGTCGAATGACGAGGTGGTAAAGAGATGGGAGAAATCAACGGGGCCAACAGCACTGTGGCAGCTGATGCCGGTTACCGGTCCCTGGTGACCCTCGAACATCTCTCCGATGCCAGCTTTACTGGAGACAGGGGAAAAAACTGGCATGTGATTTCAGCAGGCATGAGTCCATGGCCTAAGACAGGACTAAGTGCAGGTTCCACAAAATCAAATCCGTGCGACTGGCACACTGCAGACTGACCCACCTGCCGTGCCGGGAGGCAGTGTAGACCATCCCCTCCTCGCTCCCCACCACAAAATTGTTTACATCTCCTGTGGGGAAAGCCATCCCCGTTACTGCCACAGGCTTGGATTTGTTGTAAACCAGTTCCATGCTCTCCTGTTAAGGGAACACAATCAGAAGTACTACAGGTACCTCAAATGACAGACAAAGGTAAGCACATGGGAGTGTTACTTATACAAAAATGTGGGCAGAAGGAAAACAATGATTGATTGAGAGGGATAACCAATCAGGTTGTAGAGGAGGTGGGTCCAACCAATCAGATTTCTAAGTCCCACCTCCTCTAGTTGCTTGGATCCACCTCCACTACAATCTGATTGGTTATCTCTCTGAACCAGTCATTTTTCCTTCTGTCCTCAGAATATTTTTGTGCAAGCAAAACTCCCACGAGCAAAAGGTAAGTGTTAGTTTGCATGTGTGTACAGACCTGGGGCTGAGAGAGCATATCCAGGTTCCAGGAGCACATCTTCCCATCAGTGGACACTGTGATCAGGTTATTGGCATTCTGGGTACCAACCACATTCACACAGTACACAGGGTGCTGGGAAGAGGATGATACATGAGATATAAATCAGAGAACTGCAAAATAGTTGCTATTTAAGCAATCTTCCAGTTACGTATACTGGTCAGGGTAGAGCGGTGGCCTGGAGTCTATGACAGGCAGCACAGGGCACAAGAAGGGGGTACACCCTGGACGCGATGCCAATCCATCATAGGGTGCACATAACCATGTACAATGCATAATTTACAGAAGTAGATAGTTCAGGTCCAGAAGTAAAAATCCAGACCAAGATTTTGTTTCAACCAATCAGTTGAGTATAAAGAATCACAGTCACAGACAACCAGTTGGTTGAAACAAAATCTTGGTCTGGATTTTTACTTTCTGGACCTGAATGATCTACTTTAGAGATGCCATTGATGGGCCACAGCCCACTACTACCTACAGTGTGTGCTGCGGCAGAGAGGGGGGTCCTTTGGACGGGGGTCCTCCTGTGGCAGCGGTTGTCCCAGAGCACAATCTGCCCGGAGTATGTTCCTCCCACTACCAGGTTAGGGTGAAATCGAGCAAAGCCCACTGACATCACTGACGACTACAAGGAAAGAAAGTACACCACTTACTATGGAAAGAAAAGAGACATGAGCTCCGAAATAAAACACAGTCTCATGCAACAGACAAAATGAAGACCATGATGTCTGGTACTATAGAGCAGAGACCAATCATCCTTTAAATTAGCCGTCTTCATTTGTGGAACCAAATTAAAATCACTTGCTAGGGTCATTTTTCATTTGCTCTAAATAGAGCATTGTGCAGAAAATGTGAAACAAGCTTCAGTTAATTAACACATCAATACTTAAGTGGCCCAGGCAATTATGCATTTTGGTCAAACAGCATAAAGAGCACGGAAGAGTCAAATCTACCTAATAGAATTTAGAACCCGTTCATTAAAAATCTGTTCAGGTTCTATGTATTTAAACTCACCTGGCAGTGAAATATGTACTCTGGAGTTGTCTTCTTGAATTTCATGTTCCAAACTAGTGCAACACCATCAGGTTCATGTGGTGCATCTTCATTGTTGTTATAAGACGCCACCATCAATTCAGGATACTAAACATTACATTAAAAATGCTGTATTATTTATGGAGAAATACAGTACTGTGCTACAGTCTTAGGCAGTCAAAGGAAAAGATCATTTAAATGATCTTCATTCTGGTGTAAAACTATGACTTTATATCTGTCGAAGTATGTTTCAAACCCTCTTCTAACATTAACCCAGTATTTGCAGCAACCATCTGAAACACCCATGTATTTTTGACTAAACCTCTACCACACCTCATATAGCTAATCAATATGCCATTGACGCTTTCAAACCAATTCAGTTAAGTAATTGAGCTGGTGGTGAAATGTAACAAATACATGGAACGGCTGGAGCACCCCTGAGCAGAGGTTCGGGAAGCAAAGCGGTGTTCATCTAGCCATCCAACAAGTTATCAGGGACTTTTTCAAGAGCAGAAGAAATTCTTGTTCATTTTCATATATTGTAATATAAAACTGTGTTTAGTGTTTTGAGCAAATATGCACGTACTACCCAGGTATATAGCTTTAAACATTTCCTTTGACTACCTACCACTTTTGCACAGTACTGTATATAATGCAATATCTAACAAATAAGACATTAAACAAGGTGAAGAATGCATCGGTACACATATGGAACTAGAAGAGGTTAAAGGCCTTTGTACCTGTGGTGACCAATCCAGGCAGGTAACGACTCTGTGTTTGGACCAGTGCTCATCATAGAACAAACGGTTGAAAGACAGGTTGGAACCTCCTTGAATGTCCCTGAATGGAAATGAGAAAGCAGCTATAAATATTCAGGAGGTCACTTGTGAACACTGAACCCACACTGAATATCACTGGGCCATGAGCGAAGTTACTGTTGGTTCATTTCAAAACAGTTACTATTAGGGGATGACATTGTGAAAGGATCCAGCATAGGGAATTGCAAAGTCTGGGTTAGTAATGCAGATAAGGAGGAAGATTCCTCTGGATGTGACCTTAAGGCCTGGCCCATCTTTGTCCTAGAGCAGTGATTCCCAACTCTGTCCTCTGAGACCCACAGTCAGTCCAAGTTTTTGCTCCCTTCAGGTTCCCTGCCAGACAGTCCACATTTTTGCTCCCTCCCAACCCCCAGCAAAAACATGGACTGTCTGTGGGTCCCCAAGGACCGGATTGGGAAACACTTGTCCTAGAGCCCTCATTGTATTTGTGTTTCTTAGATTGTACACTACATGTTTCTTTAGTGGACAACACAATGTGACACACCCTTCCTTGTCCTCCAGGTCACGGCCGCTGTAATCAAAAAAGATGTCTGATTCCTCAGCCAGTGCACGCTCAACCACACGGATGGTGCGGTCAAAGAAGATGAGAAACTCCTCCGAGTGAAGAACTTGTTGTTTCTCCTCTTCCGTAAGCTCTCTGGGGTGGACTGAGACATCACAGCTATGGTAAATTTTTATGGTATCACGGGTGATTTTGTTTATTAATTTCTTTGTGTGGGCAGATTCCTTGTCTCAATCTCAATGGAGATGAGATTTGAAAAAAGGGTGTTATACACAACACAATGTGTTGTTTTTGCGTTATCAATTACATTCATTCAGTTCATTCAAAGAACTTTATTTATACAAGATTTTATTTTTAGTTAATATGAGTAATAAATTAGATGGAATGTGAAATGTAATGGTTCATTTCAGGGATTTTCAACTTTTTAAGCTTGAAGCAAAAAAACATACCTCCCAGAAAAGGAAATTTTAAAGCCCTTTGGGTCCTTAGTTAAGTATGTGATCACTCATTACTGGTATGGAGAACCTTGCTATTTTTATTTGGGGTTATTTGTTGGAAAAATTTAGAATTGCTGCAAAACTCATATTTTTGTTTATATCTAGAGTGAAAAATAATCCACTGTTTACTTCTTCTAAATCAAATGTATAATTGACAGAAAAAAACACAACGTAAATATAAATAATATGAAATAGCAAAAGAAGCGTTCAATGCGTCCTATTGTGATTTGATTTTACCTTCTTTTATCTCCTGCTTCTGATCTTCTTCCTCATTGGACTGAGGGCCAGGCTTTGGCTCAGAGATCTCTTCATCCTCCTCTTCCTCTGTGAAAAAAATTTATGTCACACTAATCATCTGTTACACAGACTTAAAACCCTCAAAGAGACACTTAAGGTAAACTAATCATGGGCCTGAACTCGATATCTTTATCTTCCATCCATCCATTGTCTATGACCGCTTACCCAAAGCAGGGTCGCACAGAGAGCAAGGCATGGAGGAAGCGTGAAGAGGGGCCAGTCCGTCACAGGGGACACACACTAGGGGCGGCACTCAGCCGCCGTTTCACCTAACCATGTGTTTATGGCCTGTCTGTAGGAGGAAACCCATGCAAGACAGGAAGAAAATGAACTAAAAGACAAGCCTTCAAATCCCCGAGTGTAAACATCACTAAAATATGAATGGCATTCAGAATTTGAGTTCTTCTTATACATTTTTTCTTTACTTTGGACAATTACAGAGTACTTTTCAAAAACAGTGCCAAGACTTTATTTGTAAATTAATATTAATATTTACATAATATTAAATGAATATTTACATATTTTCTTTGTTGCTAATGGGAAGAGATCTTTGAGAAATTGCCATTCCACTATCGTAGTGTTTCTCGACAATGGTCCTGTTTTAGATTATGGTTGTATGTAGGGCGTTAGAGTCAGATGTTTCAGAGTTTATTTTTTAGAAATTTTCCTTGTGCTTTACAAACCTGGGAAATGGCAAGGCAATTAAAAGTGCAAAACATGAAAAATATTTGGTAACACTTCAGAGGTCACAAATAATGCAGTGGTACACTCTTACCTAGTTAATGTATTAACTAACCAGATTCTAAGTGTTACATACTGAATCCATGTTTGTTCATCATCAGTCAATCATAACGGTTCATGTAGTTCATGCAGTTAATATATTTGTTCATGCTTTGTACTTGAATACTAACTGAGTTACAAGGTTACTTGTGCCCCCTCAAGTAAATTTTTATCACATATTTTTATCTGTTTGAAAAAGTTGCAGCATAAACTATAAGGAGGGCAGCATGGTGGCTCTCTAGTGACAGCATGGTGGCTCTCTGTTGCTTCATACATCCAGAGTTAGGAGATGAAATCTTGCCCCAGTGCTATGTGTGTGTAGTTTGCATGCTCTTCCTGTGTTCTGAGCATTTCCTCTAGGTTCTCTGGTTTCCTTATACTTCCAATATTGTGCAGCTGTGTGTGGATGCAGGTCTCCTGTGTACTGGCACCCCACCCAGGCTGCACCCCAGCCCAGTGCCCTTTGCTGCCTAGGATAAGCTCCAGGCCTGCCCTGTACCCTTTGCTGACTAGGATAGGCTCCAGGCCTGCCCTGTACCCTTTGCTGCCTAGGATAGGCTCCAGGTATGCCCTGTGCCCTGTGCTGCCTAGGATAGGCTCCACACCTGCCCTGTGACCTAATCGGTATAAGCAGAGAGAAGATGGATCAAATGAAAGGATCATATTCAAGGATTTTAATGACGATCACACTAATCCACCTTCTTTGATAATGACCTTCAGACTGATGGGCGGCCAGAGGAGTCTGCGTCTCTTTGGAGTAAGATACGACCTCCCGGGGCAGAAAGTCCACTTGGGTGATTTTTGATGCCCCCAATCTGTGCATCCTGCGACTAAAAGGTGAAAACAGACGTCATGTAAACAGCCCCGTAAAGCCATTCAAACAAATCAAGCAGCGGACACATTTACCATCTTGTTACATAGTTGCACTAGTCAGGAAAAAGATGTCTGTAAGGATGACATAGAAAAAACCTTTCTCTTTTAAATAGGGATGATAAGATTATGTATGTTACAATATTTACATTCAAACATACTGCATTCAACCACAAACTGAACTACATTCAACAGCAGCATGTGCTTGGGAATGTATAGAAAGAGCTAAAGAAATCAGTAGCTGTCTGAAAACATCATGTGGTTATGCGTTCAGGCACCGGGTCGAGGCTGACTGGAACAGAACTGTACTACAGTGAAGACAGATGTAATATTGCTGAAATCACATCAGAATGTAATTAATAGGAAGGATTAAGCTGCTATTTTTTGAAAAAAATCTGGTCTTGTACATACTGTAAGTAGTTAGAGCTGTACTATGAACACTCAAGAACTGATTCCTTATCTTTAATCATGATGCAATTTGTATCCCTGTAATCTTAGTCAAATTGCATAAGATGCCTTACCTATCAAATAAACAAAGGCGAAAAATCAAATGATTAGCAATCAAACTAATAAAAAAAAACTAAATTTAATAGGATCCCTGTGCTGAGTGGCACAGAGAAAATGAAGTAGAGAGGAAAGATAAGGTGTACCCGAGCTCAGGGTCAGCCTGCAGCTGCAGTACAGAAGGATCAGTATCCCACTGCAGGGTCCTAGAGACAGCAGCAGGGGGCGCCGCACAGGGGAGAGAACATGCACCATTAGCCAGCAGAGAAACTCAACCACCACACCAAAAAAATATCATGCCATGTGGGGATTAAGCACGAATCAAACTGAAAAAGCATAGATATCTCATCACGATACAAAGGGGAAATAAATATAATTCAGCTAAAATATTACATACTAAATTACATTTTTTTCCTTAAGTTCTTCATTTTTCTACTGTAAATTTGCAAATGTATTTATTCTTATTTTCTGGCAGATCTATTATCTCAATGGTGTAAATGAGATGACATCACAATGACAACGATGTATTCCCTGGGTGTCTCCGCCCTGCTTCACATTTGGTGCGATTTGTCTCAAAATGAAACAGGCCCCAGATCAACAACTAAACAATGTTCCTGCAAAGTCTGAGAACGATGCATTAAATTCTGGAGAGCTGTGAGAGTGTAGGGGGGGTAGAGACTGTAAAGGCTGGGGGTGTAGGTGGGGTTGGGATTAGATTTTTCGGGGAGGTTTAGAGAGTAATACATTGTTGTCATTGCAATAGCATCTAATCTAATCTAATCATAATTTTAAATCAAGTTATTTAATGTTAAATACATTTGACATTTATAAATGTAAATAATTTTATCATTAACATCAAAGTCCTGTTTATCGCTTATAATGCTAATTTAATTGGAGTTCCACTCCGTCTGTCTGTGATGTCAGAGTGACACCTTAGAATGAGACAAAAATTATCATTCCACAATAAATGTCTATATATTAGAAAAACTGGGAACAAATTTAGCACAATAAAGTATAATAATAATAACTGATTTTTTTTAAGTAGTAAAGAGCAATAAAATACCATGATTTCAGAGTAAAATCACTGCAGAAAATCCTGCAGATATGTAATGAAAATGCTAAAATAATGTTCAGGAAACACTGCAGCACAGTCATGCACAGCACAACATAATCAATGAGACCCACAAATGGCAGCACAACATATTTTATGAAGGAGAAAACCTTTAAAAAATATGTCATGTAAGGGCAATTTAATAACAGCCATTTTCAAGGCAAATAATTCGGCATCTGCGATGTTCTTACTGTCACCCAAGGGGAAAGCATTATAGAAGCTTAATTTAACTTTACACAATAATTAGCTGTAACCTGATATCATACCTAAACAAAGTGACACTCTGTGTATCAACAATACACCCATTCACGGAGCCGTGAAACTATTTGCAAAAAAATTACTCACAATGCCGTGACAACTGAACCAGTCATGCTGTTTGTCATGAATATGTCATGACTTGTGCTCTTTGGTTATTTAGATTTCATTTTTTGTTTCAATTTCACAATTGGCATTCCTATTGTCTGAATGTCCAACTGTGTGCAAGAACTAGTTTGCAGCTACACCTAACTCAGTACTCAGTTACCTTCAGCTAAAGCAGTGATATCAAACTCCAGGCCCACAGTTTTAAAACCTTGGGGTGATAAACGTGCCAAAGAGATAAAATATTTGGTGCTTTTTTATGGACTGACCATGAGAGCAAAAGTGAACAGCTTGCTAGGGCAAGTCAGGAAGGACAAAATAAATGAACTAATGACAGGTCTGAGGAAGCAGCATTTTGTAGTGAATCGTAGTCAGGGGTCATGTAGTCAATTTTTAAAAAACAATTTTCGTAATATCTATGATGTTATCTAATCATTTCTGTGACAAGCTAGGGAATTTTGGTAAATGCCCCAGAATATTAATGCGGGTATTAATTCTTTCTTCATGTACGTGACATATTAAGCTACATAGCCATTTGGGTTCTATGTAAATGCCCCAAAACCAGGCTGTTTCTCATTTTCAAATTCAAATTCAAAATGAAAATGCTTGTTTTTAGTCTGGAATAAACTCTATGAAAATATTAAGTGTGAATTTACTTTAAAAAAAGAAAAATTAAATTTGTCACAGCGTGTGTTACAATCCTTAATCCTTCCTCTATGATGTTTATGAAATCCAGTTAAGTCACATCTGTTTCGCAACCCGATGTTACCCAACAGTGTTTCCCAACCGGATCTTTGGGGACCCGCAGACTTTCTACGTTTTTGCTCCCTCTCATCTCCTTGGCAGATAATCCACATTTTTTTGCTCAGGAGCTCGGAGGGAGCAAAAATGTGGACTGTCTGTTGGTCCCCAAGGACCGGACTGGGAAACACTAGATAACTGAGAAGACTGAGGCAGCAAGTGCTACCAAACAATGGGGAGGCATAAAGCAAAAGCGTACCTTCCTACCACGCCCCCGTCTACCGACTCCTGGCTGCCGGCCTCGCTGGGCGTGCTCACTGAAGGAGACATAGGGGTTGGGACTAAATAATGAAAATAACACGTATCCCATGTTAAGAGCTGCAGCGGCTGCTCTGGTGGCCAGTAGTGACAGACACAGCGAAAATAAAAAAGGATTACAAATCAACAGGATGGATTGAAATGGTTAAAGCAAAAAGCCCAAAGGAAAAAAGAAAGAAAGATAGTTAAATGTATTCCTATCCACGGCACTCTTTTATTAAAAATAACATAGGAGGTCTTCTCGACATTAACCCTTCAGTCTGCCGTGACTCACTTTACTGCACATTCCAGAGCCCTGCAGATACTGACCAGAGGACTAGAAGACCAAGATTTTTGCTTGGGCTGGACACCTTCAAAGGCCAGATCACTCAGGAGTCCCAGAATGAAATACAAACCAGTAGCTACATCAGAGCTGACTAAGCAAATTTACAAGCACAAAAAAACTATAATTAAAATATTTCTCAAAAGAGCATACACATTCGTTGCTTGGTTTACAGTAATACTAAACAGGCATGCTTTTCCACATGACAGCTTAATCTGTTCTCAAATGATAGCAGACGTCAGGAAATTCATGAAATTCATTATACTACCAGTGCATTAGAATCTTGCACAGTACCCATTTTAGTAAACATTGGCTAGAGTATCGAATGTACAGGGACGGAAGACATTTTGTGGCTAATTATTATTGTCAGTACTGGCAAATAAGTACAAATTTAGGCACGAGAAATGGGAAACGTGAAGACACCATTGGCATGGGATTGCTTCTTAAGCCTTGAAGAGACTCTAAACAAGTGCATTTTGCCAGTTGAAAATCTTAGGTTACACAGCTTTGGGCATGTGCCCTTGAACCAGGTAAATGTGACGGCTTATGTCATCAGCAGAAAAAAACAAGGCATCACGAAAAGTGAACCCGATTAATCAACTGTGTATACAATAGTAAACGACAAGTGAAATCATTTTAATTAGTATATACAAATATGTTATTATAAACTAGTAATTCATTTTCTTACAAACATTATCCACCAAGAGGTTATCCATATTTAAATAGATGTTTATAAAGTCCAAGATTTAAATTTTTTTACTGCTCCGCACATATACAGGAAAACACAATTCAGTATAATAAATTAAATATTTCTCATAATAAAGTCACAAAAATGTATGATTTCATTAAAAACTAAAGCTAAATAAAAACATCTGTTAGCTATTTTATATATATTATATTATGTCAAAGGTGAAAAAAAATCAACAATTTCATATATTTTGCCTATGTTCCAAAGACATACCACACAAATAATGTCCATTTCATTCCAGATAATATGGGTAATAAGAATAAGAATTGTCTTTATGATGTGTGAATCACCATTGGAAGAATACAAGGATGATGCTTTAAGAAGCAACTGGAACGTAAGATCATGGGAAATGTGTGTGACCTTGGACCAGAAAAGTACTGACATGTGTCAGGATTAGAAATTTTCCCCAACATTCTGCATAAACATCCAAAACAAATCAGGACTTAGGTACTGTCTGGTGTTTTCAAAGAGTCATTTTCTCCTGAAGATATGTGTGTGTTTATATAAGGGTGCGCTCACACGAAACATTATAATTACGCTAGAAAATTCAAGATAGTTCATTTGGTACTGAAAATGAGTTAATGATTTACGATTAACATTGAAGTTATTGTACATGTGCTATGTAAAACCACTTTTTTACCAAATAGTAATAGTTATTACGGATTAGGAATATATTTGTAATTTCCATCTGAAACTGCAATTTGGACACACTTCCTTAATTCTTTGTTTCTCACCACTAATCCGAGAACAAAAACAAGACAGAGAGGGCCGCAGCCGCCAGGCATGACGCTTTTCCTCGTTTACCTAGTGGTGGTTCTGGGGAGATCCCGATGCTCTGCAGAAGTGCTTCTGTTTCTCTCCGCTTGCGGTCTAGGTCAGAATCTTCATGAAGCGTTTCGGCCTTTTGCTGCATCTCCGACTTAAAACAACGTTCAGAATGGGTGATGGAGCTAGCTGTGATACTGAACGGACAGCTAATTCATAAGAACGCATTTTTGGAGGGTAACATGTGCCTCAGCAGGTTAATTCATGTTGGACCGAGAGCTGGAACGGGTGATAAAATAGAGTTGATTTGTCTACACACCAGGGACCTAATAAGCTCTTACCTCTTTCTTTTTCCTCTCCTCCTCCTTCCTTTTCTTCTCCTCCCGTATTTGAGCCAGACGCTGTTTCTTACGCTCCAGCTCAGCTTTGAGGTCACTTTTGTCTGACATTTTCACCTCTTGACCTACCAGTCAAACACACACAGCTTATTGCCCGAAGGCAGAACTTTGCAGACAATCAACAATGTAAGATCCGAACAAAGTTAATTTTGTGCAATTTGTTCTTTTCAGCACTTACCTTCCATTTCTTATATACTGACCTTGACAGACCTGCCCGGCAATTTCAGATGTATGTACTTCTTAAATAGTCAATAATTCTTAATAAACATACCAATGCTGGTTTTACATTACTATATACATACCCCATGCCATCTAATCCCAAATAGGTTTTTTTGTGTAAAAATATAATCATACTTAGTATCATGATTTTCTCATAATCATGTTATTAAAATGATAAGAACGTTACAGCAGTGAGCTGTAACAGTTTTGGTTGTTTACCCACAGTGACCCAGTTTTGACCCCTTCTTAAATATCAAGTGCAAGTTAAGTACCTTGCTCAGGGGTAAAACAAGCGAGTCACCTCCTGGGGCGTGACGTGACACGACCTTGTCCTTATTCACTACCTTATGTACATTAACAGTGTTGCTGAGCGTGCTTTCCATACTTTTTATATAGCAGAAGGTAAATGCTGACTGTATGTCTGGTGACAATTCAGCAAAATGGTTGTCTTATGAGTGTAGGGTTAGGGGAAGAACAAATGGGATAACGTATATAAATCAAGGCAATAATGTGAAAGAATGTAGACAAAAACACAAAAGACAGCAACAATGCTGTTACCGGCATAACAAAGAAACAACGGAAAATAACCAAAATAGTTTTCGTATAGTCTTTATTAACAAATACAAAAAATAAACAAATATAATGCGGTTGGTAACAGAAGACAAAACTCATATGCATTCATGAAATGGCAGCAATTAATTTTTATGGATTTACATGTTACAAGTTTAGAAACATTAAACACTATTTTTACATTTTTAAATGATCTGGAAAAACAGTGGTGGTTTCTGAACAGATACTGTTTGAGATGCCTGTTACAGTTAATTCCTTGCCTGCTTTCACATTTGATATCACTATTGTGAATGAAGCAAAATGTTGCAAATGTCTTCCAGTATGGATCTTTATATGAGGTCGATGTTGTCAATTGCAATTATATGTCATAACTACCCAGAAAGAGAACTGAAAACGTGAACACGTTGATCACTAACCAACATCTTGATCAACAATACATATATTCAGCAAAAACATCAAAAAAAAAATCAACATTACTTTTGAAAGGCAATATTTTCTACTCATATGCAAATCTCTCATCGAAACCAATTGCTCCATATCTGAGCTAACAAGACAGAGTGGGCATACCTTAGTATAATTAAAATAATAATAATTATATACTTAAAAAAAAACACCCTGAAGGAGATGTAACGCAAATGGGAGCGGTGAGTGACAGCGTCACCGCGCACTTCCGCTCTTGCTAACGTCACTGTGCACCTCAGATCTTAATGACGTCACAATTTTGCTCTAGGGGTCCAAGGCGTTTGCGCAGATGTATGTCTGCGGAGCTAACAGCCACGAAAGTGAGGTTAAAACACAACAACGCAGCATTTCGTACAGTTGCAACCTTATTTTATAAACACTGTCAGCTACGTTTCAGTACATAGGAGGTAAGCCTATTATGAGTCTCTGTATATATCCTGTTATGTCTATATGCAGTAACAAAAAAATAGTTCAGTTCAGATTCATAAGTAGAGCTAAAATGCAAGTCAAAATGCCAATCGTAAACCACAAACTGTCGTATTCTAATAGTTCTTTTGAACATACATAAAATGCGTCAGGTTTGATTCATTTTCTGACACAGATTCCTGACTGGCCATCTTCTATATTCACAATACCTATATTCAGCAAAAACACCAAAAAATAAATATACTGACCAGATGAGTAACATGAAAAAAAAACATATAAATCCTAAATCAGACTTACAATATAAAGATATACAAAATACACGGCCCGATATTACTGTACATATTTTACTTACTGTGGTTATTTCTGCTGTTAAGTTTTTTCCCCCTCTCAAAAATGCAGTATCACTGCAGCGCTACTGTCTAAAACAAGTCGAGCTGTACAATATCTGCAGGTACCAAGCTGCAGAAACCGAGTCAAAGTGAGCAGCCCGCAGGATGCCGGCCACACAAACCTCACCTCCTCCTCGCTGTAAGCGCTTAGGGTTCAGATATTAACGCAGCTGGTTGCTGTTCGGACTACAACAGCCTGACCCGCTGCCCAGAATGCGGCTTACTGCCACCTGCTGCCCCGAAGGATCAACTACTACTAGAGGCCAACAGCTCTTACAAGTACCTAACACTGTTTTATTAACAAATTAAATTTAGAATATGTTTTTAGATTCGAAAAAAAAGAACTAGTGATATTGTTTTATAAAAGAACCACGTTTCTTCTGTTTTTTTTTTGTTTTGTTTTTTTAAATACAACAATAAAAACAAATGTCCCGGATCATCTTTCTACCCAGACTTTTTCAGTCTTCCGAAGTAGTCTTACTTTTTTTTCCTTCTCTTGTTGACGAGCTCCTGTCTTTTGCTAGCACCGCCTTTCTGTTTGAGGGACTTAATGCTGCCGCATACTTCCTCTGCCGCGCATATGAACTGGTGTTGAAATGGGGAAACTATTGATTGTATTTGCGCTTATTGCAGTTTTCGTGGCATTTATCGGACAAAGAATCATTACATTAAGGTGGGTTAGTTTTACTTTTTTCTCGGGTGTTTTTTGCAGCCGCACTTTTTTGCCGGATGTTTTCATCGCGAATAACCAATTATTCTGGGAATAATCCTTGCAGGAAATGTTTTTCAATGTGTATCTGGGTGGTTACGAAGTTCTATTTATTTAAAAATGTGTCGACTTTTCAGGTCTGGTTTGCTATTCATTTACTAGGGTTAAGTTCAACAAAGTCACTTTAAAAAAGAAAAAAATCTGTATAATTTCATCGTTTTTTTCCCCACGTAATTGTGTAATTGCTCGTGCATTTAACTAGAATAGGTTAAATGTTATGTAACTGATTTGCCAGCCGTATGACACACTGACTTTTGCAATCAGTCATTAAGCTTTGAGTGCGTGCTAAAGTTTAAAGTCTTAAAATCAGTAGTGCATTTGCTGAACAAATTGTGCCTAAAGCGCGCCTTTGAGCCATAATATTTTCAGACGTTTGCTCCTCTTTTACAGGAGAGTATGTCTAGCTTCCAGAGAAGTTATTCAAAATCATCTGCCCAACTGTCGCCACCTTAAAGGCCTTGGTATGTTGCATGAAGATAAACTAAAAGTTACGGCGAATCGATAGTCTTGTATTCAAAGTCGAAGTAATTCGTCTCCAGATAAGCACGTAAGGGTGTACTAAGGTACTTAACAAGAGGGGGAAACCATGCAGTGTCCTCGTGCTACTGGTAGAATATGGATCCTATGAAGAGATGATATTTCCGATATTTGGGACAGGGATTATTCAGATTTACGATTCGCCACACGACAACATTGTTGTTGTTTTTATTTTTTATTAGAATATGGATCAGAGGACATAACGGTGCTTCCACACGGACTTGCAATTATAAGTACAGTAAGTCCCCAACCCCCAGAAAAAGCATCACTAGAAATTAATGTAAATAGTTTGATGAAACTGTATATCGATTATAATGGTTGTGAGTGAATTTTGTTAGATGCTCCTTATAGGATAGTACGGGCTATTATAAAAGGAATCTGTTACTGTATATATGCATTGAGAAGTAAATACCTATGTATAAGTATTTACTTCTGTCGTTCGATTTTATTGTGCAGGGATTAAAGTATCCAGGCATGATGTGGTTTTCCGATTCCCCGGGGAAGATGTACACGGTAGATCTGCACGATCCACGTCTGAAACCAGTGGAACTAAAGATTGCAGGAGCCTTTGACATGCACTCTTTCAACCCTCATGGAATTAGTGTTTATATTGATGATAAGGGTAATGTAACTAATATTTTTTGACTTGTTCTCTTCTTTCTTATTAGAGAATATATGGCCTACTTATAAGCTTAAACTGAAACATAACTTGCAAACAAATTTAATTGCATAGATATCAGGTAAAAGTAAAAAAAAATCAAATAAAATTATCATAAAAGAGCAAAATTATTAAATTGTGTTTTTATTGAAGTTTTCTTGTCTCATCTATGAAATGCTGCTGTGATACCGAGTATGAACACAAGGTGGAGACGGTGTGTAGTATTAGATAATTTGTTTGTCAGTATCCATCGTTTCTAATCTCTTTCCAGATCACTCGGTCTACTTATTCGTTGTTAATCACCCTCAAGACAACAGTCAAGTAGAAGTTTTTCGATTTGTGGAGGAGGACAATTCGATTGTGCATCTGAATACTATTCAACATGAATTGCTTTATAGGTTTGTGTTACCGATTAGAGAGAATAAATTACTTAAAATTCAAACACTTGAAACAGTTGGATAATTGGAACTAATTATCTTTCTCAGTTGTGCCACCAGTGAAACTCTGGGAAAACCTAATAACGATAGTTTAAGCATCCCGATATTAGAATGACAATTTCAAAGCCCATAGCACCAAATACTAGATGTAGGTAAAATACTAATCCTTTATGCATTTGCGGTTTCACATTTGTTACACGCTTGCTTGTCTTGTTTATATTTTGCAGTGTGAATGATGTCGTTCCAGTGGGTGCAGATAGATTCTATGCAACAAATGACCATTATTTTTCCAACGCCATAATGAAAAATTTAGAGCCTCTGATTGGCCGACCCTGGACTAATGTTGCCTACTACAGCCCAGATGAGGTCAAAGTTGTAGCTGAGGGATTTTTTATGGCCAATGGTATCAACATCTCTCCTGATAAGAGGTTTGTCCTAAATGGATTCTTAAATCTTATAGTTTGTGTGGATCATTCAAAGGAATTTTGTTTTAATATAACTCGGATATAAATGCAGTCATAATTTTATTTTCATTTTTTTTATCAGGCATATATATGTTTCTGATATCTTTGACTACAAAATTTACGTCATGGCAATTCAAGAGAACAAAAACCTTACTCTATTAAAGGTAAAACTTTACTGTATTCAAATACTTAACTGTTGAGAAATTTGTTTTTTAAAAACTGTTTTGTGTGTGTTTGTATGTGTCACCTTGTGAATCTCCACTGGCGACTGTAGTTTCCTCATGCCAGCAGTTAGGTGAATTTGTGTGTCCTAAGTACCAGTCGGGTATGGTTGCATGTGTGAGTCAGTCCATCACAGGACAAACATCCCGTTCAGGGTGTGCTCATGCCTTGTGTTTTATGCTCTGAGGTACCCTCATGATCTGACGTGTTGCAAGCAATTAGATGGATGGATGGATGGAAAAAAATTGATGCTTTCCAATATCCTCTAGATCAGGGTTGTCAAATCCCAGTCCTGGAGGGTTGGAGCCCTGCGCATTTAACACCCGATTCATCTCCTTGCATCTCTGTGTGCTAATTACCACACAGCTTTTGAGCTGAATCATTTGTGTTGGAACAGGGATAGACCTAAGCTACTCTGGAGCCTTGGAGTTTGACACCCCTGCTCTAGATCAGTGTTTCCCAAGCCAGTCTTCAGGCACCCACAGTCGGTCCAAGTTATTGCTCCATCCAAGCTCCCTACCAGACAGTCTGCATTTTTGCTCCCTCCCAGCTCCCCAAGAACTGGATTGGGAAATACTGATCTAGATGATTTGATTGTCTAACATTTCTGACATTATGTAATTTTAAAATATCTGGTACTGAACTACAATGCAAGTTGCAGAACTTCATTGGAAAAGACTAATGCTACTATATAATGTGTTAGTTGTAATGCATGTTAATAAGAATCTGTAGCGGAAGTGTCCCTGAGAGCTGGCTTTGTTTTACGCCTGTCTGAACCGCATCAGCTTTACTTGACCTTTATTCCGTTTAATAAGTCTGTGGATACCGGATCGTTGTGCGACAACGTTGAGGTGGACCTGGACACAGGTGATTTATGGCTGGGGTGTCTCCCTGACTGCTGGAAGATGCTGCATTACGACCCCGAGGATCCACCTGGATGTGAGGTCAGTGTGTGTTGATGTGCATGATCCAGTTTGCCTTTTACCCATCGGACAATCGCTTAAATCCTTTTCTTTTTTATTGTCAACTCTTGACCTTTTTTCAGCTTTTAATTTTTACTCGCCTGTTTTGTTGCTTTTTATCGTTTCTGTAATTTCACAGAAAGTGGGAAATATATCATTTCTTTTGGGGGGAACTCTGAATAAACTTTCTCAGAGGAAATAATCTGTTTAGTATATGGTGTCTGTTTTCTTATTCAAGCTGTTAGCAGAACTATGTCTGTACTAATTTGATTTGCATATTTAAAGCAACACACTCATCCTGTGTGTCCATGTCTGTCCTCAGGTGATTCAAATCCAGAATGTCCTTTCAGAGAAGCCCATCGTGAAGCAGGTGTACAGCGATAATGGCACCATTATTCAGGGATGCTCAGTCTCCGCCTTTTACAGGCACAAGCTTTTAATAGGAACTGTCTTCCAGAAAGCACTCGTCTGTGACATGAAGTAGTTTTGTGTGTGCATCACCCCCATAACATGGAATATTAATGATCATCTATGTGTGACTACTTTAAAAAGAGGCTGTGAATTTCTGAATCTGTGCATTCCTTCAAAGATGTTACGTGTTTTGTTTTACAACGGAGCTATTCCATCATCGGTAGAAGAAAAAAATACAATGAAGGATCTTTTCAGCTAATACGCATAGTAAATGCAGCTTTGGAAATTGTTCTCCAAATGTCGTCTCGTTATACCAACATCCCAGCACTTTTGTAAAGAAATAATTTCACCAATAATCTTTCCTTATTTCAGTTTATGGGTTTTCATGCGTGTGCTGCTCACCCAGGACATTTTCATATAGTTGATTGATTGGAATAAGACAAAACCATGTTATATTTCATTATTTTACTGCAGTCACGTGTGTTTGAATTGCCATTTACATTAATTTACAAAACAGAATGTTTGTTTTCCAGAGACTGTATTTGAAAACACATTAATTTAAAATTCTTCTCTTTGCCCAATCATTAATTATTGTGTTTCTTAATGTGACGTTTTTCCTATACTGCATTTCGAACAAATTGGATGTTTTCGTGCTATGCTGTTTCTAAATAAGTGACTAGGCACCAGTTTCTGTGCAAACTGTTTTAATGGTTTACATGAAATGAAAATTAGATTTAATCAGATCTGTGAGTCCTGAAGCTTCTATCCACTTTTCCTCTTCCAGGGGTGGCAAAGTGAGGATTCCAGATAGGATTCACTAAAATTCACTAAAATACTGTTAACTCAGTAAGTGAGGAAAAAATCACCATGTTCTCCATCCATGTGTGAACAGGATCAGGTAACAGAAATGATATTGGTGCTTTTTTGATTCATGCCAGGTGTGGCAAAAAAAATTGAGACATGATTAAGTAGCCATTTCAAACCTTATTAGATGCTTTGTATTTAAGTGAAAAAGAATTTATGGGCAATTGTTTGCAGATAATAGTAAAATTTGTATGCGCAATATGAGAAAAGTCAGGGGTTAATCTTCCGAAGTTACTTTGGGCTGGATGAGGAAAGGCCGGTTAGTTGCAGTCATAAACAAAGTTGTAGTCACTAGGTTCTTTGGGAATCGGAGGTGGAGCTTCGGGAATTTTGATGTTCTCAAGGTCCAAGAGGCGGAGCTTCATTTCCATGCTGAGCAGGATTTCCACATCAGACTTGGTGAGGTCACTGGTCAGCTCCTTCCCCAGAAGAATGTTCAGCCCGTCTATCCACACACAGTACTGCAACATAAATGAAATGCTCATAAATGCTAGATCGTTTAATTAGGGTGAAACACACAGATACAATCTAAAGTTAAAAAAAAAAAAAAAAAACTATGTAGGTTCTTCTATTTAAAACATAGTTTCATGAAAGTGCAGCTTTGGTGCACATTTTCTCTGAAGGGTAGTGTTGGTGAGGAATATGAAAATCGTGCTGATTCATTCCTACCTCATGTTTATTGGGAGCAATGAAGTTCAGATATTCATCTGAGTCATAAACGATGGAGAATGCCAGCTCCTGCGTCTCCTGCGCCTCCTGCAGTGAAACAGTCGGCATGGAAAATACAGTTCAGAGCTCCTCTTCTGACATAGTGCTGCCCCCCCCCCCCCCCTCCCAGCCTGGCTCCCTTTTGCTCAGCCCCAGCCCAGATTTCACACTCCAGATGGTACGTGTGTCACCATCTAACCTGTTTTCCAAGCACATTCACCAGCTGAATATGTGGAAAAAGCAAGAGGAACCTCAGAAAGCAGCCTGTCTCTCCACGGTCATCCCAATGTCCTCCGCTTTGAAATTTCTGACTGTCTGACTGCCTTAACTGGCCGTCTGATCCCTGATTAGAACAATCGCTCAATGGGATCTCCAGACAATAACCAACTTGCTCCATCAGATGAAAAGTGTACAGCAGAGAAAAATGAATTGGATCTTCAGAGTGGAATCTATCAGGAATTTGGCATCACCTAAAATTACCATTTAAGGTAATTCATCAAGAATGATTTAAAACATTTATTTACATGAGTCTGCTCTGACGCTAGCATCAAAGGGAAATACAAAATTATGCATCTTAAACATAACAAATGTAATAATTATAATTAAATTGTTAAACGCTATATTGATAACGCACTCATGGTATGGTTTTCCAGTGCAATTAAACACCCAGTCTAGCCATTTATTGTCTTCTGTTAATTAAGCTAAAATAAAATAGTGCTGGCATGTGGGTGTCACAGACACAAGTAATTCTGGCTAAAAGTGGAGCTTTAAATATCTGAGCAGGTTTTGTGTGGCAGCGCCAGTTAAATCCGCCAAGCTGAAGAGACAGACATCACACCCACACAAAAGCGGTGGACATGACAGGACGGCTGATATTTCACCTTATTCTGCCTGAGAGCTCCTTTCTCCTTCACGTGAGGGCAGTCTTTTCCAGTTATCACTGCTTTAATGTCAGACACCTGTACTGTAGGAAGTGGGGAGTGTCAAGATGGGGGGGGGGGAAGGTCAACAAGCAGAACACTTATAAATGACATGACATACGGAGTAACTGCATGTGTTTTGTGATCGGACGTAACCGATTTGTGTTACTATGCTCAGGGCTCTTGCCGTTTGCCGCTTTGGTTCAGTGGAAAGCTACTTTCGTTTTTCCAGTAGTGTGCTGAGCTGGAACAAAGCCCAAACCGGCTGTGGAGGGAGCTTGGAAAGTCTTGTTTGCTTGTTTTAGGAGCCTGGACCAAGACTTTGACTGTATGATGTTTCGTCTTCCTTAGTGTGCCTCTTACTCTTCTCCTGCAGCGATTCGTAAGACACGGCTCCCTGATTGGCCTCCTCCAGGTCTCCGTAGTGCAGGACCTTGTGATTGGCTGACAGCCGACAGCACCAGAACCTGTCTGCGGGAGAACACGCAACATCCAGATGTAACCAGCTGCGTGGGTTGCTTCAGTCAGGGGCATTTAAGAATGGAACAAACCCAAGTCAAGCTTTAAAGTGGGATGGTTTACTGGACACTGTGGCAGATGGGTTAAATCTACTGGTCTGTGCACATTAATCTTGGAAATATTAGATGTGCCAAAGGCTTTCTTGGCATTACGAGCACACTTCAAAGCCATCCAAATCAAAAAACTGCCGAGAACAGGCATGGCAGAGAACTAGCAAAATGTGAGGATCACAGCATTATGCGCTAAAATGTATTTATGTAACACACAAAATCCCTAAAACAAAAAGGAAATCCTGTGGACTGGTATGCCTAATCTCACATGCTTCAAAAGGAGCTTTATCTGAGATTAAATTATCTGACTTCTATCTTATTCAAAAATCCATTGCTGTCATAAACAGTAGTGTGAAATGACCCGATTTCTCATTTTCATTGTTTTTCCCCCACATTTTACACTGTAAATGTGCTCAGATCTTTATGGATTGTAGTAACACAGATGCAGCTTGAGAAATTACTTATTTTTGGTGTATTAGCTAATCAATTTGAACTTCAGACACAACAAAAGTTAACTTGAACCCAGACATGCAATACATTTATTTGAATTCTGGTGAACAAGGCTACATTTCAGCCATCATTGCTCAATAATCTGAGTAACTTCAGACAATGATAATAGAATGAAGTGTCCTAGATGTAAAACAGGTCATGACCGAAAGAAACAGAAGGTTTGCAAATCTTTATTTTAATGACTAAATAATTAAAGTTGTGTATTTTTCATTCACGTATGTTGCATTCAGTCGTTTATTTTAATCATCAGACTGTCAAAAATGTGCAAAAAAAATCTGATAGGGTTTTGCACGTTTTTTTTTTAGAATTAGGAATACTAGTCCAAATTACTAATGAAATCATTAATGAAAAGAGCTAAAAATGTTAAGATAATAAACAATGCCCGTTTTGTTGAAACCGATTCACTCGTGTATGTGGGTGGTCACCTTTTTAATTAATAATATTTTGTAATTCCTATTACAGTACGTAGAACAGGAAAAAGACAGATTGCATTATCCTTTGTTGTAGAGAGGGCTGACAAACCAAGCAGGTTCTTATGTAAGAAACACACATTACACTTCACACGTACTGCATGCTAAATCGGCTCAGTAAATACTGGCCATATTATAATGGTAACAATTCCAGTTTGAAAAGAAAAATGAAACTAAGCTGTGGTCGGAGGAAGAATTCCCCCAGAAAATTTGAAAGGTCATTGTTAACTAACAAACTATGCCAACATTTAAGCGGGACCTCAAGAGATCATTTGTACTAGTGTAATTTACTAAGAGTGGAGACAACAGGCAGTTTATGAGTATATAATGCTCACCGGGGGCACCCAAAAATAATGTAATAAAAACAATCACCCTAGGATGCAAAAAATAATGTAATAAAAACAATCACCCTAGGTTGCAAAAAATAATGTAATAATTATATTATTGCACCCTATGATGCAAAAAAAAGAATGATCTTGGGCCCAGCTGTGGGATTTGCTCTGCCGTCAACGCTGTAAGTGCGGCATCATCAGCATTGTTCTCTGGGTGAGTGTCGATATTAGACTTTCGGGTTAGTCTGCGTTCTTTTATTGAACAGCACATGGTTAAAGAGGCAGGCGTTGGAAATAATCGAAACTACCATCTGATAAACATCATAAGCATAACATACAACAGAAGAAAGCCCAACATTTCCCAATAGAAAAGAGGACAGTATTACTGCAGAATAATGGTGTCCTTTGATTTTTTTTTTTTTGCACATTCCAAGGTGAGTTTAGAACAGCTCTCAGATGAGGACAGAGAAAACAATGTTGTACTGATTTCTGAACAATTACAAGTGATTTGAAGATTTCAAAATAATAGGGATATTCCCCGTGACATTATTTAAATGCACTTGATTATAGATATAAAGATAAATAAATAACACAAATTTATTTAAAAGTAACAAAAAGAACCTGACAAATACCTAAGTCTTGAAACTTTGAAGAGGATAGTATTCCAAAAAATGTGTAAACAATGCCACACATGCTACAGGTGACTTTGAATACAGGTTTACTCTGATCAAACTCACATCACTATGAACCAGGTCAAAAAATATGCGTAAAATTGTGAATTATAAAAAAATAATTGGACTAGACTGTTAGCCATCAACCCACACAGGCAAAATAGTTGATAAATATACAGACTGTTAGTTGACAGATCAACTATCATTTAAATTTTAACTGACCATGCAAACTCTTTACTTCAATCAAACAATCCAAGAATGAAGGTTTACAGTGGTAACAATAAAGAAAATTTGTGTGTGACAATTAAAACTATTATGATACAGATGGTTTTGGCTAACTGGTTAAATGCTTCTGTTTTATGTCATTGTTTGTGTGTTTATTTGGTTTGTTTTTTAGATGTTTTAAAGGGACACGGCGTAAGTATAGATTTGGTGTCTAGTTTTTGTCAATAATGTGTCGCAGACTCACCAGACCAAACATACTCAGCAGTGGTGTGAGTGGTTAAGGACCCACAGTTGTAACTTACAGCTGCAAGTTGGAGTC